GTTGGGAGGGGAGAGGAGGGGATGGGATGGGATGGGATGGGGGCGGGGAGAGTCACGCAGCAGCAGGGGACTGACCGGAAAGCGAGCGGCATTGATTGCGTTAAGCGACTGGGAGAAGCGGGCGATATTGGCGAGGTGGAGTGGCGGCGCAACAAGGCGAAATGGCGATTGTGGTGATGATGGTGAGAACCACAGAAGCAGAGGAGGGTGAGGAAACTATTCGACGAATGTGTTGTTCGCGTGGTAACGTTGTTTGTGTTAAAATGTTTACAACACTTATGCTGGAAGTAAGGGGAGGAGATCAGGAGACTTTGTATTGGTTCGGAAATAAATTTAGTATTGATTGGGATGGTGAGAATGGCTGGGTTTTCAGATAGAAGTTCTTGAAGGTAATTTTCATTCCTATTTGTAAACGACACAAAAATTTGAATTCCAAATGATTTTTAGTTAGTTTAATATATTCACATAAAATATTGAGCAACTTCGACCTCGTAAATTGTCATCTTCCTTCATTGAGATCTTCTACAACACACGCACTCGGGTCACACCATCGCAGCAAACTCAACATTCCCAATCGCCCTTCTTGTACCGAAGGCCCTCCGACCCCACCACCGGCACATCCGTCTGCGCCCCGCCCCTTTCTCTCCACTCGTCGGGCGGAGTGGCATATCGGAGGGCAGCGAAACTCCAGGCTGCTTCAGCCAATTCTGTGGAGTTTGCCCAGCGCGGATATTAGCCTCGATCACCGGTAATTCACTGGCCTCGCGAGCAATCTGAGGCGGGGGCCGGAGGACGGAGGCGCGGCGCGGTGGGCGAGAGGGGGGGGGGTGACCTGTGATTTAGCCCCCGAGGCCGGAAGGCGCCCCGCCCCCTTCCCCCACCGCAAGACAAACAGTCCCCGGCGCCGGGCCTCGCGCACCGGAAAAGAAATAAAAAGAGACGGGTTTCTTCTTCTGCGGGGCCAGGGCATGCCTTTTGTCGTAATGCACAATTTTTCACGTGGGAGAATACTAGAGCAGATAAGGTAATCTATTTCGCGGAGTGCCGGTTTCGGAAAGGGCGCAGCGCAAAGGGCACGTTCACCGGGGAGAGAGACGCGAGGTAGCGGGGAAACAGGGCGTAGAGTAGGGGCGGACAGGAGGCGTAGAGTAGGAAGACAGGGGGCTTCGCGACGACTGGCGCGAGTTGAGGCAACCGCATCAAATAAGGGCGTGCCTCTCGATCGTTGCTTAACGTAACTTCTGGTAGTGACGGCCGGAAAATGAGAGATACGTACCTAAATGGCTATATTCCACTCCCTCTTGGGAAGAGTTATGAGTTTGAGTTAACCCTTGTCTGCCTGAATTATTTTGAAAATAAAAGCATTTGAACATTTTATAATGAAAAAAACATTTTTTTCTTCAAAATTTTGATATGCATGTGGTGACACCGTTTTAGGATGTTACGGAAAATAACATGAAGTTCTATTTGTGTCACTGCAAAATTTTAAAATGAAGGTTTGAACTATCTGCAGATTTGTAAAGCGTACCCACTCGGACACGATTGACAGATAAGGGGTACTTTTCAAAGCTGATGAGGTGACATCAAACTAAAACATTTTTACATTTATTCCAACATTATGCAAACGCCATAATTTTCGTATCGGTCCTACTTGCGTTTACGAACAATTGTTTTCTTATCTTAAGACAGTAAAAGCACAGAAACGGTAGACCTAATTACATCATGCGAAGTTTTCGCCTTCTAAATGCTACTGAAACTATTGATCCCAAAGTAGATGAACTCAATAAAAATACATTTTAATTAAAATGTACAAACTTCTATGTATAACACTTTTTTTTCGAATTCATCTACCTTCTACTGAATAAGCATTTTGAAAAACTTCTAGTATGTTTTCTCTAAGTAAAAGTTTACCCGAAGACAGTTTAAATAAAATAACTCACGTAATATTGCTTATTCTGTTACTTGCTGTTCTGGATGATCTGGCTGTCAACGACGTTTTCACTCTCATACAACATCGTTTGCTCACCGAAACTGTGGTCTTGAGTGGATTTTATCGGTGGAGCAAGGAAGGTTTGAGAGTGTTGAAATTAACAAATTTTTTTAAAAATCTACTTCTTCCTCCTTTATGGTGAAAGTAAAATGGGGCGGCAAGAAAATGATTTTTGATGTCAAATGAACGATGAAAGTATGAAAAATATGTGAAAGTGTTTTTCATCAGATTAACCTTTGTAAGTTCATACTCGGACGTAGAGTAGGGCGACTTCGATGCGGCACTAGCTGGTGGCTAATTAGTAAGTGATATGCGTGTTTCATGTACTTTGTTCAAGAACTGACAAGTATTAGAGAAATTTTAAGTATATTCTCGAAGTAATGTTGAAAATTTGCATTTAGATAGACTATTTACGGGCGTGTTAATACCTGTAACGGCCTGTTATTGCCACATATATAGCAATACCAGGTAAATGAAAACTACGAAGTCACAATATCACCTTCTGAAGTTTACACGTTTCATCAGAAATCTATACTATATATTACACTATATAGAGAATTGTATACAAATAATATTATACAGAGACAAACACATGACCGATTTCCAGTATGACTTTAATTGAAGTGCGAAATAAAATCTACACAACTGAACCGAATAATACGTATTGTACAAAACACCATTAATTTAATTTTCTACAAATTTAGGTTTACCCTGGTACGTAAGCACCTTTCTCTCAACCTAAGGATAATATTATGGGAATATTTCTTGTTGGTTTGAATGGTGTTAAAAAGAACAAGTAAATCAAGTAGCTAAATGAACTCACCTCCAGGATATGTTCTGCTTGGTTCTCGCGGTCCAACTTGCGGCCGGTTGTGCGTATGATGCCTGTAATAAGAACAGTAATGTATCAATAAGCATAGTAAATACAATATAGTAAATATATAACTTCGTATTAAATTAGTACCATACGATAGTCTAGTTTAGTGTGGTGACTCCGGCGGATATTTTCATGTTAAAAATGTAATTGAGGAGGTATAAACCAAAAAGAATATTACAATATAAATTTTAATGTATATTTTAAAGTAAGTATTCTGGATTAAACCCCCACATGTTTAATCCATAATACTTTGCTATATATTCCTCGAAATATTAATTTTCTGGCACTCGCTAGTTCTTTCAAGTTTACAAATTAACACACAATCTAGTCCAGTGTCCGTTAAAACATTATAGTTAGTACAAGATCATAAATGCATGCAATAGTTAAAATTGTTATCTCATATCATGGGGATATTTGTCGTGGGATATCTACCTTTAAATCTGACCTAATCAGAGTTTGAGCGATTGATACAACAGTTTTTATGGGGGTTAAATTTCAATTAGTGCCTGCCTTTATGACCTTATCCGATAAATAATACACAACTGTTAACACTTTCTATTTATGGTGATATAAAAATACACAGCATAAACGACGGAACAGATTTATTTTTCGAGTAAGTTAATAGAATCCGAAATGTAACACAGGATAGCACGTGTAATGCTTTGTGTGCTAAATGGTCCAACATTCACAACGTGTCGCGTAATGCGTAGTTGCAACGCGAGAAGCTTTCCGCGCCCGCTATAATTCACTACGCCATCGATTGATCCCGGGAGCAAACAGAGCCCTTTGTATCGAGCGTTTGAAGCGCAGCGCCTCAATGGGGCGGACTTCAACCGCGTGCAATCGCCCACTCGCCCCCTCGCCCGCGCCAGCCAGCCAGCCAGCAGGTAGGCACTTCACACACTGGGCGATAAAACGGGAGGCTGCGATATCGCAGTGGAAAATGGTGAAACACCACAGAATGGAAAGGAATGTACCACATTGATTTTTTTGAAAGCGGCAGAAGTGTGCTTTTACTTATTTATTTCACGTGTTGTATGTAGCCGGTACTACATTAAATATTTAAAAAATTACAGTTATATTAATTACATTAAATGAATAGCTAAAATACGAAATATAATGTGCAATAATAAAATAATAGTCTTAATTAATCTTGGACTTGGGGAATATGGATCGCCAAATTTAATTCGTTCAGCCTTTTGATGAGTTGACGAGTTAGTTTACACAACTATTTTTCACTTCTAGATACACTCTCAGTAGTCATTCATGCGGTTTAAGGAATAATGACTGTTTTTAAAGCACCAAATTCACTTTTTGAATTTCCCCTGAAAAATAAGATCGCCTCCTAACATATTCTTTATAACGACACGTATCAGAGAAATTAACTGGAAATTTGTAAAAAGGACGTAAAATGGTTACATTTTTATTGGCTTATAATGGAAACTTCAAAAATTTTTTTCTCTCTCTGGAAAATTACAATCTTTGAGATACGTGTAGTTAAAATGTAACCAACGATATAGATTTCTCCATTACATCATATCGTGCACTATTTAACCATTGTTCATTTCAACTCACGTTGATATCAATGCTACGTGCAGTTTCAACGAGGGAATATAAAACGTATGCAAAACACTGCTTTGTTTTCTGAAGTTCACTAAAATAACCCGAAAAACGAAAGCGCTTGTTAACTTGGATATATGAAAAATAATAAAGTGAATATTCAAATATTAATTAGAGATTGCAGATACGTTCCCTGCGTGACTGTTGCTATTGCGTTGCTCTTAAGAGTTGTTTCGACAAAACACTTGCGGGTCACGCAACTGGCACCCGCTGTGGCGCGGAGGGCCAACGCCGCCGCAAATCCCGATTGGTTGATTTGTGTTTCCTAGCGCGTTAACTACTAAGGTCATTATTCCCGTAAAGATGGTGCGTGTTTTTTTCGCGGGAGGTAAGGATGATATTTCCCCGCTGGATGGCGAGATCCGGCGCAGTCAGTCAGTCAGTCAGTCAGTCAGCTAGAGGGGTTTCCCAAACCAGGTATCTCCCACCAGTGGGAGCACCGCCCCAGCCGGGACAAGCCCAAAGCTCTCGAGTGCACTCCCAGCATGAGCGATACGTGTAGGGCAAGACAAGCTAGTGACGGAACTAAAAGGAGGATGGTAGAGGGGTAACACGTGAGAGACGGATGAAAAGGCACCAAGCGTCTCCAAAACACAAGCGTGGCGGGGAAAAGCAGCACGGAAAACGTAATAAAGCGAGGATAACGAAGCAGATTAAAGAGAAGGGAGACTGTGGGCTCTGAGGAAATGAAAAATACGAAGCCGTTACGGGCGAAGTAAGGAAAGCAAATAAAATAGATGCAAGCGGCATGGGGAAGATTGTGAGGGGAGAGGCCCCAGGGACATCAACCGCGGGCAGCCTTTATTGAATGCGCCTAAGTTTACGTGCTCCGACGGCGACGACCGGGAAAGAGGCTGTCGCTGGCGACGCCGCCACTCGGTGATTCCAATAGGACGGGGTTATACCACTGAAATAAACGAACACCCCAGGGAGTCCACGTGGAGAAAATACGAGTGAGTGAACGCGGAGAGAGTATTTAAGCACTGAGACATCTAACGGATATAAAGCAGCGGGTTCACTGGATATGACTACGAAGTCAATATCCCTTCAGTTTTAGAAGCGATGTTCGAATAAACACTCAAATTTACGTAATTACCTTTTTTCTATACGTAAGTTTAAAAAGTATTATTGTTATTATTACTATTATTATTATTATTATTATTATTATTATTATAAGTTTTTAATGAAAGTCAGAACGATACCACAATTTTAAACTTCTTTTTTTTTTTGTAATCAAGCAAAAAAATTAAAGAAAAAATCTCAGTTAAAGTCTCAGACCCTTCATTTCGTCCCGGCATCTGACTTTCACCTCCTACGCACGTTTATGCCCCCAAGTTTTCTTCAGACTCGCAAGACCGGCCATCCTTCCCCGAAGGGCGGTCGACGGCTGGCTCCCAATCGCCACTCTCTGCCCATCACTCCGCTCTGCCCGCTGGGCCGAAGCCCGGCCCACGAGAGAACGGCGACGGGTTTGGGCCGAAACGGGGCGGGGCGGGGCGGGGCGAGGCGCAGCCAGGTGGAAAGGGGTACAGCGGGACGAATCATCGCGGGACGGGACCACGGGGTGAGGTGAGGCGAGGCATGGGGAGGTGTGACGAGGCGTGGCGACCTGTGGCTATGCATTGCGTGGCGATGGTGGCGTGGCGAGGCGTAGCAAGGTGTGACAAGGCGTGGTGACGTGTGACGAGGCGAGGCGAGGCAAGGCGAGACATATATAGGCGTGGTGCACGTGGCGAGGCATGGAGAGGCGTGGCGATGCATGGTG